CCCGCGGGAGGGGCAGGAGACGCGCTGACGGCCGGGTGCGGCCTGCCCTCCAGGTGAACACGCCTGCGGCCGAGGTGCTCTACACGGTCATCCAGGACTGGGCCCAGCTGGACGCAGAAAGCACGGTGCTGGACGTGTGCTGCGGCACCGGTACCATCGGCCTGGCCCTGGCCCGGGTGAGCCCTCCCGCGCCGTGACCCCCGCAGCCTCCTTCCTGGCCTGCTCTCCATCAGCTGCTCACCGCCCCGTGCCTCCCCTCCAGGTGGTGAAGAGAGTCGTCGGCATCGAGCTGAGCCAGGAGGCCGTGGAGGACGCCCGGGCGAACGCCCACGCCAATGGTGAGCGCAAGGCCTGGGGGGCAGGCCTGGGGCGGCCCCAACCTCTGCACCTGCAACCCATCATGTGGCTCCGAGGCTGCTGGGTTAGCAGGCCCTCCTGCGTGCCCGTCTGAGGCTGCCCTACCGGGAGGGGAGGTGCCTGGCCCGCCAGCAGCTGTGATGTCACCTCCAGACCTGAGCAACGTGGAGTTCCACTGCGGCAGGGCCGAGGACCTGGTGCCTGCCCTGGTGAGCAGACTGGCCTCGCAGCAGCTCGTGGCCGTGCTGGACCCGCCGCGCGCCGGCCTGCGTGAGTGCCCTCTGCCGGGGGATCGCGGGGCTGCATGGCCTCGGGCCTTAGGGACCAGCCCGTGCCTGTGCCTCTGCAGATTCCAAGGTGATCCTGGCTATCCGCAAGGCCGAGAACCTCAAGCGGCTCCTGTACGTCTCGTGCAACCCCCGGGCAGCCATGGGCAACTTTGTGGAGTGAGTACTGGGCAGGACCGGGGTGAGCCAGGGCCTTCCACTCGGCCCCAGGCTGTCCTGGGCTGACCTTGGTGTGCTCTCCCCACAGCCTCTGCAGGGCTCCCTCCAACAGGGTGAAGGGCACCCCGTTCCGTCCAGTCAAGGCCGTGGCCGTGGACCTGTTCCCGCAGACCCCGCACTGCGAGATGCTCATCCTGTTCGAGAGGGTGGAGCACCCCAACGACACGGGGGTCCCAGGGTCCCAAGACCCTCCAGCCCAGCCCCCACCAGGGCCCTCAGGTGACGGCCCACCAGAAACTGGGACCTCCCTCTCGACCTAGACCCTGGGAGCTGCAAAAGCTGGCCCTTCCAGAGCCGGGTCCCCCCAGGTCTGCTGCACCCCAGGATGATCAGAGGGCAGGAGACCCGGCTGCCCACTCCCCTGGGCCCAGCCTGGTGCTGTGGGCTCTGGCTGGAAAGGCAGGCAGGCTCCTGCGGCCTGCCCCCGCACTGCAGCCCTTCCTGGCACAGGTAAACGAGGCAGAATAAACAGCCGTGAACAAGGATGTCTCTGTGATGACGGCCAGAGCTTCGGCACTTGGCGCCCTTCGCTCTCGCTACAGAGAGAAAGCAGCGGGGCCATCAGGGAACCGTGACCCTGTCAGCTCCTCGCCCGTGCAAGGCCCCTGCTAGTCCTCACCCCCACAGCCGAGAACCTGTAAGCCACGGGAGCAGCTGTGTCTGGCAGGCCCCCGCAGTTTCCTCTGCCCCAAAGAAACGAACACCAGGCAGTCCCTTTCGGACAGTTCTGCTTTATGCGTTCAGACAGTCGAGGCTCACCTCGGAGCCATGGCCCAGGGCACAGAAGCAGCCTCAGCACAGCCCGGCCCCGTCCTCAGCACACTGTGTGTAGGGGACACACACCCACACGGGGTGGACGGAGGGAGGACACTGACCGGAGACCGCAAGGGCATCGGCACCTGCTGCAGCGCCTGGGACCACCAGCCTCTAGGGCGACACGTGCACAAAGCGTTGGTCCGCGGCGGCACATCTGGCTGCTCTAAGGGCAACGGTCACAGCAAGTGGTCACTCAGCTGCAGACGGGACAGAAGCAGGTGTCTAATTACAACAGCCGGACCTGGGCGCCTTCTCAAACTGAGCGCAGGAGTGACCTTGGTCACAGCGGTGAGGGAAAGATGCTGTGGGTGACCCGCGGGCCCACATTCTGACTCCCTAATGGCAGATGCCGCTCATGCCACCCACCGAAGTGTGGGGATGCCAGGAAACGAGGGTGCAGCCAGTGCCAGCCTCTGGCATCTGCTGGCGCTCCATGAGCTGGTGCAGGGCTGGGCCCGTGACTGGCACACCCACGTGCCCTGGGACTCGAGCAGGAACACACATCTACCCTGTACCTACCCACAGCCCCAGGCAAGCACAGGTGCCAGCCAGCTGGGCACTGGCACTGGGACGGCTGCACACAGGGCCGCCCGCCACTTGCTCACCAGGCCTGGACCAAGACTGGGCTGCCCAGAGGCCCTGCTTCCAAATGAACAAGCCAACTTGCTAAAATGCGTGATTCCAAATCTACCTTCTACTCTCACTGTAAAAGTTCCCAAATGCTAAAATATCATAAAAGCTTTAAAAATCGATGGGTGGACAGATGGACTTGACTGTGCAAAAATCTTGGTAAAAACTGTCGCCAGAGGCCAGCAGAGGCAGGGGCCTGCATGTGCAGGGAGGCGCGCTTCGAGGGCATTAAGACTTGATCAGAAAGTGGACCAGTGCCCCAGCAGCAAGTGAGGACGGCCCTGGGGAGGCTAGTGGGGCGTCGTCCTCACTGGCATCATGGCTCAGGGCTGGGAATAACCCCCCATAAGGATTTGCCTGTAATCTCTGAAAAATTCTGATGCTAACCTCATGTTTATTTTAAACTCCAAAAGGTCTAAAAGACTCCTTTCTAGCTGTCTTAGCTTTTCAGAGACGGAAAACACAGAAGGCAGGGGCTGCGTGCGCCTCTGACAGGGCCCTGCGGTGCTCCTGGGAGCCCTGGGCATGGGCCACCCGGCCCTGCAGGCCAGCCACGGCCACAGGTCTCAGTCCATCTGTCCAAGAACCACTCCTCAGTGTGTACTGCAAACTGAAATTCATGAGCACTCCTTCATAAGGACAGCCTGCGGGAGGTGCACGGCAAGGGCCGTGGGCCGCTGGCTCCACTGGTGCACTAGGGCTCGGCCCCTGCACGTCCACCCAGAGCTGGGCGCAGCCTCCAAGCACACACGTGCTGTGGCCGTGGCAGGCCCGGCCCAGAGCCTCCACCCCTGGCCCAGGCCCTCGGACACGCTGGCTGCAGGGAGGAGCTGAGGCTGGAGGCCGAGGCAGTGAGCGGTGCATGGGTGGCGGTCTCCCCAGCAGCGCCGCGGCCCGCGCGGGCCCTCACACATCCACGGTGCACAGGGGCTCCCCGCCGGGCTGGGCCGACGCCACAATCGACATCTTGGGCTTCTTCCGAGTCTCCTCCTGGAAGAACAAAGGTCAAGGGTGCCGGGGGGCCGGCACGGACGCGGGGGGCCAGTGCTCGCGATGCCAGAGGGACAGGGAAGGTCGGAGGGGTGAGCGTGGCAAGGGTCTCCCCAGAGTGCCCCCCAAGAGCACCACGTGCCCCGTGCTGCCACTTTCCAGGGAGTCAACTCAGCACCAGAAGTAAGAACTGTGGGTGAGGACAGAGACAAGCCAAGACTCACTCTGGGGTGCGTCCCCAGCCTGGCCCTCCCTGGTCCTGGGCCAAGTCAACTTCCTTCCATCCAGGGCCAGAGTCCTGGGCCTGCTGCCGGGCTGCACTGCACCCCGTGCCCCAGGGGGAGGTGGGTGGTCCGGCCAGCTCCAGGGAGCAGAGCCAGGTATCTGCTGGGTGGCGCAGGCCCGGCCAGTGGGCTAGTGCCACGGCTCAGCAAAGCTGCGAGCCCGGAACGCCCAGGAGGGGTTGTGAATGGCCTGGAACGCTGCCCAAGAGCCCACCCACTGCCACCTCGACAGGCCCCTCGGGGTGGGGTGCTCGGTGTTAGGACACTTCCCAGGGACCCAGCTCTAACTGGGACACTGGGTCTGTGAACCTTGTGAGTTCCCTGGGGCACCTGGCCTGGCCCTCGAGTACCTGCCACCGAATGGACCCAGAAGCAGCCCTTCACTAACCAGCAGGCTCACCTGCCGGCTCTTCATTTAACGAAGAGCAAAGTAGTTTTATAAAAGCATCCCGTGTGTGGAAGCCACGTTTGGAGGGGCGCCGGGCCCGCGTGCCGCCCCCAGCCCGCGCTCACCCGCTCCTCGGCCAGCCTCTTCATCTCCTCCTGCAGCTTGCTCAGGATGTGCAGGTTGGGCTTGTTCTTCTTGGCGTACTGCTGCAGCTCGATCACGCTCTTGTCCGAGGTCTCCTGGGGGCACAGGCCGCGCTCAGGACGGCCAGCCCGACAGCGGAGAGGGCGGGCAGCTGTGGCCACCAGCCTACCTCCTGGCCATCCAGCCCATGGTGCCGCCTCCTCGGCGGCAGAGCAGGGAGCCAGGTGCTCCCAGTGCCCTGAGCCCTCACGTGCGGGGACCAGGGACGGCCGTGGTCAGTGGACAGCACGCTCCACGTGCACGCAGGTTAGCCCACTGGCCTAGGCACTGGGCTCACACATGTCCTTCCACTCGCAGAGCAGGGGTGCAGACACCGTGACCCTGCTCTGCACTCCTGCTCCCCGACCTCAGAGGCCATCCCTGAGGTGCTTGCTGTGCCCTGGGAAGCCGGAGCACGCAGACCTCCACTGGGCCCAGGCTGGGACTCCTCACCCTGCAGCTTAGGGAGGCTTTCTGCCCAAGGCCAAAGCCAGGCTTGCTTTCTCTCCCCCAATCTTAGCCCAGAACTACGCACAGCACAGGCAGAAGCAAGCTGGACCGTCACGTCAACGTAGGTCCCTGTGGCCCGGGTGGCCTCCCTCACCCTGCCCCGTCGTGCACAGAGCAAGAGCCCATCTAGGGGGCCTGAAGGGGTACTGCACCACTCAGCCCTGGCTCGACCCCAGGGCAGGGTGCTGGAGGCCCACACGCCAGCCCTTACACCTACTACTCCCGCGGTGACTAGGATGCCGACGACGGAGGAAAAAAACGGCAACTCTCGGGACCAGCAGTTAGCGTAATGGCTGTCGCTGGACTCCCACGTAGTCGACCACGGTTCGTGTCCCAGACCCCGTGGCTTAAACTCACGCTGGGAACATGTGTATGCATGCCCAAGATCCCAAGAAGAGAATGGAGGAGAAGGGATTGTGGCGTGGCCATCCCCCCTGGGGGGTGATTTATTGCTTTCTGTCTCTGTCTCTCTGTCAAACACACATGTCCTATAGCAAAAATCTCTCTCTCAAAAAAAAAGTAATATTGAAATGCTCACATTGTAAGCTAAACAATGCGATCGAATGAATATACAAAAATAAATTAAATTAAAAAAATTTCAAAAAAAGAACTAAACTAAAAAAAAAAAAAAAAAAAGGGGGAAA